TAAAAACAAGAAGTCGGTTAGCAACGAAAATTTATCCAGCTTTGAAGCAAAAATCAACGAAATGGATGAGAAGAAAGTTCCAGAAATAAATGATCATAAAGTCATCGATATCGTGAAGTTGGAGACCTTAATGTGTAATGATATTCATCCAACGGTTGGGAAATCGGACAAAAGCAAAGACGTTCATGATTGCAAGGATGTTCAATCTCTAGTTATGCCAAATCGCAGCATTTGAAGTTAAAATATGAGATCATGTGATTTTATTTTGGATCATGTAGAAAAACCCAAAGTTGACATGTGGGGTGAATTGTCTTTGTATGAATTTATATTTTAAACCGTATGAATTGGTTACTTTTGTTCACAGATTTGGTTTGTTATATATTATTATTTTCAAGTTTTTTAAAAATAAATACAGGATTTATGTATTTTTAAAAAATTTATTTTTTTATTTTTTAAACATTAGCGACGGATTAGCGAGGGAATATCCGTCGCTGAAAGTGTTTGAATTTCCCTCGCAAATCCGTCGCTGAAAGTTCCCTCGCAAATCCGTCGCTGATAGTTCCCTCGCAAATCCGTCGCTGATAGTTCCCTCGCAAATCTGTCGCTGATCCGTCGCTAAATACATCCCTCGCTGATCCGTCGCTGAAAGTTTTCATCGCAAATCCGTCGCTGAATTCCGTCGCTGATAGCATTACCTACGACTGTTTGACCGACGGAGTATCAGCGACGGATCCGCGACGGAGACCCTTTTTACCCAGCATTTTTGTAGTGACATATGTACACATATGACACATACACACATTTGTACGTGTAACACATAAAACATGAGGAAAAAAAAAATAAGACTAATCTCTCGCAAATCCTTCGCTGGTTATGCCACTAATCCATCGCTAATCAGCGAAGGATAGGCCAAAAACCAATTCCGTCACTAATTAGCAAAGGATATCTCGCAAATCCCTCGTTGACTAGCGATGTTTTTTTTTCTTCGTTAATAACCGTCGCTAATACTCTATTTTCTAGTTGTGAGATCACTCGATTATTTACGTTTCGAATTTAGACCATAGTTTTTAATTTTGTGTCATTCAAGTTAAGCTACTAAAAATGTGTTTTAGAATATATAATTTCCAATCGAATAACACCATGTTAAAAAAACATACACTAAAAGACTGTAATTCCTTATAATATTTTTTTTATTGAATTATTAATCAGTAGCTATATATTCTATAATCATCATAAAAAAAACTTGGTTTTGGAGTCGATTTCAACACTTCTTAAGTAACATCATCTAAATGAACTTATTTTAAACATGAACCCTTAAATACAAACACTTAAATATACATAATTCGAAATATACACCTTTAAACAAATTATATATTTTAAACTATGAAGCTTTAAATCTGTCTTTTAAAAAAATAACAGATGAATTAAAATACATTTTTTTGGACCCAGTTGCCCTATTAAAAAATGTCGTGGTTATGAGAACATCTGCTTACAATAACCTGTCTTTATGCATTGTTGTACAATAAGTTTCTTACAATAATTTGTGTCGATCTATCTTGACTTTTCACAGACAAAGTTCACGGGATTAGAGTTTTATCATCATGTATGTTCAAACTCAGACAAAAAAATTTCTTATAAAAAGTTAACATAATTTATTATACCAGATAATAACACCAAAATACTTGAACGAAATCTTTCACTTGTTTTTACCAATTTGACGATTTTAAGATGAGCTTTTTTATAAACAAAAATTGTAGAAAAGAAAAGAAAAAAACACTTATTTACCAATTTGTGTTTTCATTTTTATTATAGATTTGGTTCTTCACTCTAATAATATTAATTTTAATTCAGTTAAATCAAAGGTAATTTCGTCTTTTTATTTCCTTTTTTATGTTTTCTTTTAATAAAATAAAAAACAAATTAATATATTTAAATATATCATATTATTATTATATATTATATATATATATATAATAATAATATAAAACCCACTTTTTTGCAGATGCTTTCCTGTACCATCTTCGTCGACAAACCTAAGTAGGGATGATCATGAGTTGGGTTGATCGAGTTAAAGATATTTGAACAATCTAATCCGATGTTTACGTTTTGAAAAATCTTAACTCAACTCAATCAAATCAAAGTGCAACCCAACCCAAATTGTACGAGTTGGTCAAGTTGATACTTTGGTACATTAAAATATTTTTCTGACCTTGAATATGTTATTTATTTACTCATAATTTCTTTTTCATCATCAACCATTTGATACAACTTATTCATATTTCTTACGTATATCACATTCAGTTAATTTTCTCAATTTACATATATATGCTCACGGTTACTAAACATATATACGAATGAGTTATATAGAGATGTGAATAGATTGAAAATACATGTATATGAAGAACGTACGTGATAGTGCAATTGTCTAATGTATATATTAATAGAAATTCAACAATCATATTAAAGCCAAGAAATAAAAAAATATTGAATTCATCAAGTTGGGTTGAGTTCAAATGTTAGTAACCCAATATCTACGTTTTGAAAATTTTAGAAACCGATAAACATCAGCTTACTTCAGATTAAGTTATTTGACATTAGGTTGGATTAGGTTGATCGGATTTTTGAGCACCCTCCGAGTATTCTCCGGTCAACTACTTCACATCACATGACCAACCCCTCCTATGGCTCCCATTACCACATAAACGATTTTTGCAACCCCAACCGAACCCTCCCACTTCTTCACACCTACAACACATCATTCCGTTATCAATTTCCAATGCCAACCCCCTTTCTCACACCTGCAATTCACCCGATCGTGTACCACCACTTTTCTTCCATGATCGTTGCTCCTCCCTCCTCCCTACACCATCGGTCATCACTGTCGGCACGATTTGGTTTCTGGCAAGGATTTTACCAGAAAGAAATGATGCAGACCTTTGAATGTTTCCTTCGATATTGGTAAGTTGTACTTTGATACAGAACCTCCTATCCTCAGATCTGAGGTTTTCAAATTGGGTTTGATGGAGATTTGGGTCGATGGAGAGGGAGCCTCAACAACGGTGGCCGGCTTTTATGGAGATGAAGATTTGGGCTGCCTAAGTGATGCACAGATTTGATGAAGATGGCGATGGAATCTCAACAGACACGATTTATGCAAAACAATCATGGGATTGGTTTGATTTTGATCTACTAACTATACCCAGTGGTGGAGTAGTTACTAGTTGTGGTGGTGGTGCAAGAAGGAAAACCAGAAGAGGTGCTTGGGGAAGGGATGCCGACGCCGACAATGTCTGATAGACAGGGACGATGATAATTCTTATCAAATATTTAATTAATTATAAAAAATTATCCTTGTTAAAAGACGATATTACCCCTGACCTAACAAGCATCAGTTAGTATAGTTAGAATAAGGGACCTAATTTATAACAAAAGTGAAGGTATAATGACCATATATGTAATTATTTGATTAGGAGGACCTAATCTAAAATTTTCAATAACCATAGGGACGGGATTTGTAATTTACTCTAATTATAAAAAAGAAAAAGAAATAGAAAAAGAAAAGGAGGAATGGACACATGGGTTCCGTAGAAAGAATACAAATCTTGAACTGTGTGGATCTTGACCCTGCACAATTCCTCTCTCTATCTTCTTCCCTTCGTTAAAAAATTGGAAAATTCCGGAAAACTCAATTATGATTAAGTATTTGAATTATTTTTTAATTATTATTTTTTATTTTAAATGATTAAATTTTCTCTTTTATATAATTTTTTAATAAAATAAATAATCAAATTTTTAGAAATTGGTTACATTATATTACATTTTTAATAATATTAAAGTAAAAAAGCATTATTTTACACTTTTTTTCTCAAATAATTGAAACAAACACTTTATTATTATTTTAAGTTCTATACCTATAATTACTAGTATATAAAATTTGTTACCTAAACTACAATGGTGGTGTTCAATTGATTTAAGTTTGGACTCCAAATGTCAAAAGTTTTTGGAGGTACCATGTTCGAATCCAATAAAAAATAAAAATTCCTTTGTAGCCACGAATGTTCAAATAAGATGACTCCAAACTACTCACGAAGCAGATGATGATCCTAGAATTAATCAACTCATATAGTCCGTTGGATATCTATGCTAATGGGGAAAAAATGGGTACCTATAAGTTATGTTTAAAGAATATTTATTATGAGATTATATCACAATTAAAAATTGGTCGAGTTTCAGGTTTGTTTGAAGGTTTTGATGATTTGGTTTGCTTCGGAGAATGTGAAATGAAGAGAATTCCCCATGCCTTTCTTAAAAGAAAACCACTTTTTTTATTTTTCTAGTTTTAATTTAATTTTTCACGTGTATGAGGACGTTTCAAATACAATTTTTTATATTTGTACAACTAATGTAACTCAATCAATTAAGATATTTATGGAAATGATGAGAGTTTATTTATTATGATTTAAATATTTATGGGATATGACCGGAGTTCATTAATTATGATCAATACTTTATATTAAGAAACAATCTAAAATTTTATGAAAAAACATATTCATCATATTAAATGGACATTTGAAATTGAGTTGTATTGGTTGTACAAATGTAAAGAGTTGCATAATAACTCACATCTTTCTCTCTCTCTCTATATATATATATAAGATGATTTATATAAGAACCGCAAAAAATTTGAATATCATAAAATATTTATTGAAGCATGTACATTAATAAGTTGAATATATGATTTATGATGAATATGTTACAATATTAATGAAAGATAATAAAACATTTGACTTTGAAATATTTTAGAGAAGTAAACAACAAAAGGGTTGGTGTAGCAAAACCACCAAACAAGCTTTGGAGACTTTTCAAATTTTATTGGTTTGAAAATTTTGTACATCAATCATCTACCTAAAATCTCTCTTTCTATTGTTAAAACCCATTGTATGGCATTTGAGGGTTGTACTTTAGGCTTCTATACTTGTACTTCTTCTAAGGTATCGAAAATCCATTTTTTCAAATTTTATAGCGTATGTATGAATACAGGATCTCGTTCCAAACATCAGGGACTCCCGGAAGACACCAATGTACACAATCGGCATACCAAAGGGGGTGTGCTAGTTCTTGCTCTGTCGGAGGGACCCAATGTCGTTTGTAAAGAGAAGGGTGTGCGTCTTTACGATATTGTGCAAGTTGCGTTATGTTTAGAAGTTGGATGTTGAAGCCTTTCTTTTCGAGATCTTGTACTACTGATTGAGCCGTTCTCATTAGATCAGTATCAGATCCCTTTCCCCAATACCCTTGTTCCATGATCGGCTCAGTTTCATTGAAGCAGTTTTCGCCCATTGCTTTTCCCCAATCTCCACCTCTGTAAATGCCCATTAACAAACGATCAAAAACAAAACCAAATAAAATCAGCCTAGTATATCACTCTAGTAGAAAGTATATCGGAAAGAATCATAATACATACTCTTTGTGATCCGGCGAGAGGCTTATGAAGAAAATTCTAGTCTTGGAACGATTAAGGTGCGCATCCAACCAATTCGACCACGTTTTCAGAGCCATCTCGTAGCGCCTTACCCTTCCCGATTCGATGGAAGTTCTATTGGGATTTTCAAACGACCCCCACCTGTGGACAAACTTTTAGCATCAATATCTTTTGACACATATGTATCAATCAACAATACGAAAAGGAACACTTACAATAGTGTCATATTAGGCTCTAGCCACCATGTATACGAGTCAAAAACTAAAATATCCGCATCAACCCAATTTTTGGCATGCTTCTCGATGCTCTCGATCTTCATGATCCGATCATGTACACGGTGTTTGACTGGATCGTCACAATTCGATTCCACCAACAACGGTTCCCAATAGAAATCAATAGAAGCATTGTATTCCTTCCATTCACATGTGAATATCAGTCAAATTGCAAATAAACAAGTAATGAATAGGTGGATAAAATGAACAAAATTCCTTTACTCGTGTGTTTATCCAACAGGTTGAAATATAAATGGGTAAAGAGCATCTCCCATATATTTTTCAAAATAGAAAAAATGGAGATTCTCGAGATCTTAGGCCAGTTTTTTGATCCAATAAATTCTTTGAAACGGAAAAAGTAGAAGATTGATCATAAAATTCTCCAAATTTGAAGAAATCACTAAGAATGATTGTTTAAAAAAAAGATAAATAACTTCATATTATTTCCATCAATAAGAATTTTTTAAATTAAATATCTAGAAGAAAAATAATATTCTATTAAATGTATTAAATATTTTAATAATATAATTAATGTTGGAATCGTTAAAATAAAGAAGAGTTAGAATATATGTATTTTAAAAATTTTGATTTCTAGTTTTACATTTCATAGAATTTGTTGGAGATGCTTACGAGTTTATTTGCAGTGGCATCGGTCGAATTGCCAAGATGCATTATAAGTTGTAGAAAAAATTGCCAAAATAGTCATGTCTCACACATAAATTGGTTTCCTAACCATCCATTTCCCTGATTTACCCAAATATCACTACATCCGCAAGTCGTATAGACCCAGCTAAAAGACAATCTTTTAATCAGATTTGACCCATGTCTACAATTGCAAAGTCCAGGTCTACAATTTGGAGCTTTTTTGTCTTTAAGCTAGGTCTTTAAGTGGCGGACGTAAGACTTGCAGACGTAGTGACATTTGAATAAATTAGAAAGATGAATGGTTAGAATACCAATTTAAAAAGCGAGAAATGATTATTTTGACCAATTTTTTTTAACTGTACAAGCATTTAATGCATTAAAAAAAGACAAAAATAACTCACAGATGCCCTGAAAGTGATCAATGAGCCATGCCATTCTGCCACCTTATGAGATGGTTCAGTGATCCATGAGTCAATAAGACAAAGGAGCGAAACCCAATGGTTCTTGCCTAATGAGTCTCCCACAAACACAACCCTCTTGTTCCTTAGCTTCTCCAACAGTGCTGTTCCATTGAACCTACAATTTTACCCCCATGACTTAATCAAATGTACAACTTGTAATGCACAAGTCATTGAAGCTTTATTGGTAGATATATTTTTTATTTTTTTGACCGTTAATGTCTGGGTCAGTTTGTATGTATCTAAAACTTTGATTTGACGTGTGTTTGTCTTTCACACTGCATATTTGCAGTGTGTTTTACCTGGACCGGCGAAAATGAAATCTTTGTCTTGCCGTTGGAGAAACGAAAACGGTAAAAAAGAGAATTCGTCGGATAGTTAGAGAAGCTTTGAGGAGTTGTACAATACAACCAACCAATACATTAGAGTAAACCCAAAAAGTGCATGATCCCCAAAAACTGCAAGAAGAAACAATTCTTTTTTTTTTAAAGATTTTTTTAGTAGATAAAAAAAATTGCAAGAAGAAACAAGGGTAGCGTCTGATTGGTTTAAGCTTGGCTCTAAAGGTCAAAAGTACTGGTTGATCACAGGTTCAAATTCAAGGAGGAATAAAAATCCCCTTATGGCCACGGAGGTTCAAATACGGTGACTCCGGACTATCTGCAAAGCAGGTGGTCGTCCTGGGATTAGTCGGCTGCTGGCGTAGCGGGTTGGATATTCAGGGTAATAAAAAAAAGATTTTCTTTTTCTTATTTCTTTAGTTCAGAAAAAGTTTTAAAAAAATTAATTAGAAAAACAAAAGAAACCTAAAATCCCTAAAATCTTGGTTTTAAAAGTTTGGCTTTGAAATTTTACATCACAAGGTACAAGTTCTTTATGCACCTGTGTCAACTTTCTTGAGCTCCTTAAACCATTGCTACAGAGAGAGAAAGGTACAACCCCACAATGCATCCAGTCAACTTCTTGTGCTATTTTCTTAGGTAGCCATTGCAATATGTATGAGTTTATCTATCTAATCACATTACACAGTACAACTCACTAATGCACATACACACATACACACACATAATATATATATATATATATATATATATAAACTCTCTTGAGCTCCAGAACAACCAAAACCATTGCCACAGAGATACAGGGAAAGGAAGCACAGAAAGAGGAATATATATACATATATATATATATGGGGGTGTGTGTATGTACAGAGAGATAGAAGAATTATATATATATATAGAGAGAGAGAGAGAGAAGAGGAGAGAGAAAGAGAACCTGGGGAGGTCACAGGCATGAGGCTGCCATCTCCAGAACTGATACTCGAAATCTTTTCTTCCAAATTTCTCACAAGAATAATCATCCGCCATGAAAGAACACTGTTTCTCTTTATACAAAGGTCTCGATTTGTTATCATAAACCCAACTCCCATTGAAAAAATCACAACCTTCAAACGAATAATCCTCCGCCATTTCTGCTTCTCCGATGACTTCGAATCGTAGATTGTTACCACCTCCGCAGAAGTAAACAACTCCGATGATGACTCCCATAAGAAGCATAAATCCTACAGAAGAATGATACCCATGAAGCAATTTCTGTAGCTTTTCCATTACAATTCTTCCAGAATCCCTTTGATGATCTTGTTTTGCTATTCAAAACAAAAGAAACCCAAAAAGAGAAAACGAAAATTGGTTGAGTTTTTCAAGAGAGAATGATGCAGAAAAGAAGCATATAGTTTGGTTTTAGTTTGCATTTTGGTATTTAAATCACTTTGGTACTTGATACGTCCAAAATATTCCAGCATTTGACTCTTTCATTATTTCTATAATTTAATTAAAGATCTATTTTTATTAATATTCTACTATTTTTTTTTAAATAAATTGTATAGTAATAACTTTTTAAATAAGGGTACACTTTTCAAGGAAATCTATTAATATTAAAAT